TGAATGTTCTTAATATTTTTGGTGATTTGAAGATAGTTGTTGAAGTTTGTAACAGAATCTGTTCATACTTTCAGAGTTCAAAGTCTTCAAAAGCAGAGCATTGTTTTGAGAACAGTACTTGTTCACTGTCATGGAAATTACTATTTTCTTACAATAGCTAGGATGAAAACCAGGCTTAATTTTGTTGTGAAAATGACAATTTAGTGACAACCAAATTGTCATTTTCACAACAAAATTTGTTGTGGAGTGGGTTTCTTTGAGTCTATGCTCAGTCAGGTTTTCAGATATTTTGGAAGGCATTGCATCTCCCTACTCCCTGGTGTCCATCGTGTTTCCACTCCCCTCATACTCCTTGGCATTCACATCTGCTACTGTTCTTGATGGCCATATTGTAGGGAATTTTATTGGCTTTGATTTACCCGAAAAATTTTGGTGGTCGGCACAAGCATTTCAAATTTCAGCCAGCTTCAGTAGCCATTGGTTAAAAATCCCATTTATCAAAACAATTTATTGTAGTAGAAAAACATTTATATTTTTCTTTCCTTTTCCTTCATCTTCAATTGAACTCCCTCCACTCCTTGGTCAACGAGCTTTGCATGCAGGGTGGAAAGATTCAGGTTTCAGTAAATTATTTTATTACCTTCATCCTTTTCCCCAAAACTATAGAGAGCTGAAACCTACTCAGAGTAAAAAAAAAAAAAAAATTACTTTTAATGCTTCTCAGCCTTATATCCTTGCTGGGAAAGATTCCTGAGTGGTTTGTCAAACTATCTACTTTTAGAAATAGAGAAATTTTGTTTTTGTTATTATTTGTTTATTTCTTTTCTTACATCATAGTTATGAAAGCTTTCTGATTGATTGGTTGAACTATGGCTTTGTTTGGCTGGCAATTTTTATTATCTGACTATTTTTAAGGATGATGAAATTTTAGTCTTTTTGTTATTTATTTATTTCTCTATCACCAGTTCCAACTGTATTTCTGTTTTAGCCTGCTGATTAATAGTAACATGACTTTTTCTAGCCATGTTTTTTCTGTTAATTTTTCTCAATGTCTGTCCCTTAAGATTAATGCATTAACAATTAGGCTGCCAATAGAAGAGCCTGAGTGTTTCCTTTTTGTTTTATGACAAGTTATTTGTTTAAAAATATCTTCTGCTTAATTATGATTGGTTAAATAATGTGTTTAGGGATTGAAGACATGGCACTGTGAATGTATGAGGGTGACTTGAGCTAGTATTTTTTGATGAAACTAGCCTGGACATATAGAGCTGGAAATAATTTGAATTGTAATGAAATTAACCAATTTTTATGATTTGGTATCTTGAAGCGACAATTTGCACTTGCCTCACTGAAGGTCTTGTAACAGACCGTTGGGTGGTGATGATGTGATGAGTATGTAGAAGAACACATGTGGGTAGAATTTCCTGCTAGCAGGTCCAACCACATGAAAATGTTAGACTTTAATTAAGTCCAAAGAAAAACAAACAAGACCGATAAATATATAAAAACAAATGTATGTATTAACAACAAGTACAAGTTACAAGCACATGGACAGTTACATTGAGTGCGTGTGGGGAATATTATGTGTGTGTGTGTTGTGGTGAGTGTTCATATGTACATGTATTGTTCTTAGCGTGTTCCCAGAATTTGGGAAACGCTGTATCTGTGAGAGTTCACATATTGGTGTTAGCTGAAATGAGAGAAGAATTACCACCTTTCCTCCAAGCGAGGTAACAGCCCAGGGCCTGAGGGAAAAAAAGGGGTCGAGGCGAAGGGTCAGCCAGTATTTATAGCCAGGGAAGAGAGACCCCTGGTGAAGGGTTAAGGAGCTGAGGAGGAGCTAACTCTGACAACACCTCCCCTCAGATTTGAAAGTTGTAGAAAACAAACTTTTAATATGTAAGAAAAAGGTTCATGAAAGTTTTGAATATTGTCCTTGTGAACTGAAAAGAAAATGTATCTAAGTGTGGTTGAGATGCATGATTCGACGAAATGTGCTTGTGCTGTCATCAGGGTGCTCGGTGCTGTGTATTTCTCTAGTCGGTCAGAGTCGGGGCACGTTCTGGAAAAAATGTCGGTAGTGGTCTGCGTTTGCTATCAAAATTTGTCTTTTTTCCAATGTTCCATGTTGTGTTAGAATCTGGCGATAACAGCGAAACTATTTTATCGGAAAAGTTGGCAGTGTTTCGCTAGATGACACCCACCTGATAATTGGCGAAAATCTGATTGACGAAATCCAGATGAAAGTGACTTTGGGATAGGAATTGAGGTTATCACACTACGGGTCATATTGTTCTGTTGGCGGCCAGAGAAGAAGAGAGAATAGAAAAGAAAAGAAAGAAGGGAAATAGAAAAAAGAAAAAGAGGAGATAATTCTTTTTTCTTTGAGCAAGATATTTTTTTTTAAGAAACAAGGCTAGTCTGGTCACACCCACACTGTTGATCGGCCATTGGATGAATGTTAACGAGAGCCAGGCGGAGGTGATCATGTGATGCAGGGGGGAAGGCCTGCTACCACTCATTAAAGAGGATAGGTATGAGATGTTACTGCAAAGAAGTAGGAAAATCGTTGACGCCCTCTGAGGGTATGGTAAGAGAAGACTTCCAAAAATGGAAATAATAAATTTTTCCTGACCGAAAACAAAAAAAAAGGGGATTGTGGATTTGTAATTATCAGGGAACCTCAAACCACGACAAAGCCCAACCCGGTTTCAGTTGGCGTCCATATAAGCAAAGTCACAGCGAGCGAAAATCAGTTGGAGTTCCAGTTTTCCAGAGTTTGCAGTTCGCAGTTGAAGTGGGTCCCGCCTCGCATTAGCTGACTAAGATTCGCGCAACTTCCGAACTCATCTTCAATCCAAGAACAATTTATTTTTGAAGAGCGACTTAGATTCATACCACCAAAACAAGTTTTACGACTATCGCCTGAAGACACACCAAGAACCAGTTTCTTAAAGAACAGACAACTTAAGATGTTAAAACTCGCCTAACAAAAACAACGTGTCACGAATCCATATCGTGGGTCGGGAGACAGACGCAGTCCTATGTATCCAGCAACCAGATATAAAGTATTGTTATCCTTTTTTTGATACCTTTGAACTTTTTGAGTTATTATTTTATTTTCTTTCACACATATTTGTGCGATACCACACTTATTCGAACTCAACCTGCATTACGGCCCCGACGACTGATTGATTTTGTCTGCCTAAGATCAATTCACAACGTGGGTAGGCAGACTGGAGATCAAAGCAGTTACTTTGGTAACCAGACGTTGGAAGCGAGTTGGGAACGACAAGGCTGATATCGAATCTAACCAGATTCCCATCCGAATCACCAAAAGGTTAGAACATCACATTTGGGTGCCGCGGCCGATACCAAGCCAGTTGGTCGTCACAGGACGGGACAACATGACTGACGCAGACAGGCGGACGTCACGTTTGGAGCGGCGACACCTGAACGAAGCAGCGAGGAACGAGCAAGGCTGGGGGACGTCACAACAGTGATTCGCCTTTAGTGTTTGAAAATAAAGGACAGTGAGTCACCTTTAGTTTGAGATGTGGTTCACACTTTATCCATTTCAGTCCAGAAGAAGGGAGTTGAATTTAGTTAAAAATGGCGTTGCGTTTTCCGTTTGGTAAGCCGGGTGAAATGAGGTCAGACATTGCCGAGAGAAAGAAAGGGTCAAGCAAATATAGACCAGTGGGGAAATAGTTCTAAGGTCTCATAGTAATTGTGGTTCTTTTAGTGGCGATTAAGGCTTCCGTGATTTCCACGTGTTGAAAATTCTTCTTGCTGCACAGGAGAAAATTGTTTTATAGACCTGTTGTAGTGAATTAAAATTGTGATTTTGTACTTTTACCAGTTTAATCACAAATTTTTGTTGGTGTTTAAAAGTTCTTTCGTTAAGTGTACTGTACGGCGTGCGTTTTAAGATACAAAAAAAAGTTTTTTCAATGTTTTTCCTATCTGGCTCTCTTTTGGGAAAGTGTGTGTAAATGTGAGTTTGTACATATATATTGTTTTGTGTGTTTTAGCAGGAGTTGAAAGATAAATCACGTCGGGAATCACCATTATGTAGCGGACCGTTGGGTGGCGATGATGTGATGAGTATGTAGAAGAACACATGTGGGTAGAATTTCCTGCTAGCCGGTCCAACCACATGAGAAAGTTGGACTTTAATTAAGTCCAAAGAAAAACAAACAAGACCGATAAACAAATATATGTATTAACGACAAGTACAAGTTACAAGCACATGGACAGTTACATTGAGTTTGTGTTTAGCATGTTCCCAGAATTTGGGAAATGCTATATCTGTGAGAGTTCACATATTGGTGTTAGCTGAAATGAGAGAAGAATTACCACCTCACCTCCAAGCGAGGTAACGGCCCAAGGCCCGAGGGAAAAAAAGAGGTCCAGGCGAAGGGTAAGAAGCCAGTATTTATAATCAGGGGAGAGAGACCCCAGGTGAAGGGTTAAGGACCTGAGGAGGAGCTAAACTAACTCCGACAGTCTAGTTTTAACAATCCTGATGCAATACCTGGCATTTGCGAACTAATATTTGTAGCTGGAAATAATTTAAATTGAATCAAGTCAATTTTCATGATGTGGAATCTCAAAGTAATAACTTTCAATTGTCTCTTTGTAGATATGTAGTATATGTATAAAAATATCACATTGTTTTGCATGGATATAATTCTGGATTAAATATTTTTCTTTATTTTGGTGACTAAAAAAAGTATGTAAAAAAAAAGATTTAAAAATAAAAAAATCATGTGTTGGAAGATAAACTTTCTTGCATAGCGTAGAAATTAATCAAGTAAATACTTATCAAAACAGGAAACGAGATATTTTAATATAAAAAACGAAATAGTTGTTAGTGTAATGAATGATAATCAATCACATATGCCTACGAAACTAACTGCTAGCTCTACTGCTAATACGAAGTTCAAAGTACGAAACAAATTTAATAACTTCAGTTTTTAGTGTAATCAGTAATAATCATGTTGTCTACAAGTAGACAAGCTTTTCTTCGTCTTGCTGTAAGTAATCAATTAATTTGTTGAGTTATTATTTTAATTATTGTGTACATTTATTCATAGTTGAAAGAAGAATAAAATATTGATTTATCAAATCTCAGGGTAGAAATTTGAAACTTCGTCTGTTTCCTTCGAAAGTCATTCGTTTTAAAAACAACCTTTGAACAAGAAGAATAAGTAAATAAATTATGGAAATTTTCGCATATGTTTTTTATTTAAGAAAAAAGGAACACAAGTTTGAATTTTTTAATGTAAAGATTTTATATATTTTTTTGAAATTATTAATGAATTCGGAAAGTACTGTCCTACATAACCTTTCCACTTAAAAACTCTGACACGTGATCTAAAGTTTATTTTCCTCTGGGTGAAATTAAAATAATAAAATTATTTTAAATTTGTCTTTAAAACATTTTAAAATAAGAAAAATCTTTAGGCAAATTCAGTATAATCACTACATACACCATAGAAAGTTCACTTAATTTTAAAAACAAAAAAAATTGTTCGAACTCTCAAATAGTAATTTTTTCGTTTTCGTGATTAAAAAAGAATCACGGAATAATTTTTGTAATAATAGTTACTTATTATTAAAAAATTATCCCGTGATTGTAATGCTATATTTTTTAACAAATTTCTCTACTAACAAAAAAAAAAAAAAAAAAAATATTGTCACATGTTATCTTATCATATGTTATGTTTTTAGAGTTTCTGTTTTTATACTTTACTTCACAAAGCTATTCTCCCCAGTTCATTTGTCTTCTTCGAATATATAACGTAGGTACCTCCACGAAATTGCTACAAAAAACATAACGCTACTTACAGTACACTTAGTTTTTGTTTTATTTTTACTTATAAAAAGAAAAAATACTTCGGTTTAACCAGGACATCTTAATCAATTCGCAGACAACAAGGTCTTACGCTTTCCCCGTAACGCACACGGCATTTTAAAACGCAGTCACTACTCTCCAGTCTCGACGCCCCCCCTTTTTTTTTAGGTCCCAGAAGAATCCAGGAGTGGACTGTAGATATATATTTTTAATTTCTGACAACGCATCACATTGTCATGTTACAGTTAAATGAAAGTTATATCAATTCTTGAGTTCCAAGGTTGTGACTTACAGAAGTTTTTCAAATGTTCGAATCTAGATTAAAAAAAATGTCAAATGCTGATTTTTAAGGTAGCTAAATTTATTAAAGTGTTTGCTGACCTTCTGTATCTCTATTTTCGTCTTAGGCTTTTTTGTGCCAACTAAACAAAGCTTAGTCAACTTTCAGTGTCCTACTTTTGAAGGTACTGTGTGTTAATTTTGTTCCTCATTGGGATCTTCAAAACTCCATAAGCAATCCTGACTCTACACAGATTCCTTATCAGTAAATTACTATGCATTCTAGTCAAAGACTGTGGAGTGGTTTTCTGTTGTCTCCTCCAAACTTTCGAATTCAAAATTTTCTTCTCTTAGGCTGATTTATTTCTCCAAGATTCTTCATTTTCCAATCTCATTAGAGTCCAAAAGTTTCTTCGTGTCCTTGTGGGTGATAAATTATTTTCTACCCTTCCATAGACAAAATATCACAAGCCTCTCACTGCTCTATTATCATTTCCATAAAAGTGCTCAGATGAACTATATTCCTTAGTTCCACCAGTTGTAACCTTCATGGCTAAGACCTGTCATGCTATGCCCATTGTAGTGAACCACCCCCATTTCATATTCCATTTGTGAGATGTAAGTTTCACTTGAGCAGCTTCTTCCTGCAAACTTCTGCTCTGTGTAACTGACTCCCAAAAGGGTATTTTCCTGATCACAACAATCTTAACCAGTTCAAGACTATGATTAACAACTATATTCCCCACATTTGTATAAATTGTGACACTTACTCTGCAACTCACTACCTCAAGTGGCATCTGGGTCTTGTACAAAAAAGAGCTTGATAAACTTGACACTCACAGGACCGATTGAAAGCAGGGAGGGACAGAGGAAAGCAACACATAAACTATCTGGCAAACTTCAGTGAATAGATGACAGAATGAGGTTTAGGTAGATAACTGTCGGAATTTCAAGTCTGACTGTTTGAAGAAAGGGAAGGTAGAAAAACTATAATGGCAACTATTAGCATTTGAAGTAAAACTCAGCGCGAAAAGAAAGAAATGATAACGAATTCTTACTTATAACTGGCATAACTTCGCAATGGCAATCACTGTGTTGCCTATAAGTAATTCTTGTAGATGTAACAATAGAAAATAAAGAGTTAGGACTTATAAACAGTTTTGGTAACACATTCAGTAGGCTTCGAGAGAGAGCAAGGTCATAGCAAAGGAAGAAAAAATCCAGCCTTTAGCTAACTATTTTAGCATTTTCTGTATTTCTCTTTGAACTCATATGCAAATTTTGATTCCCCTTCGATCAGATGGTCTGATATCTGATGTATATTTATATGTATTTGCACACATGCATTTGTAACATGTGCTGCTAAACAACCTCCATTCTTGGAAAAATACCTTTGCAGAGGATTTGTACCAAAAACAGAATTTTAAAGATTTCACCTGCCAAATTAATATTAAAACTATTTTAATTGCTTCAGTTTTTGTTTCTAGGATTTTGATGTTTGAATTAATTTTAATCAATAATTTTAATTTCGATGAAAACACCCAGATTCATTTTATTGATAAAAATCTTAAATATTTATTTAGGGGTATAAAATTTATTTTCTCATTGAAAACATTCATTTACATTTGAGTTTTACAAACAAACTTAAAATTTTAGCCTGAAATCCAAAATTTGTTAGATGTTTATGTCATGGAAAATGTTTCAGTATGAAATAAAGTCAATTATTTACCTTTCATCTGTTACTTATAAACTTTTTTAGATAAGTTTTTGAATACATTTTACTGATAATAATGTCAAGGCAGTGGGTTTTTTCTCTCAAAATAGTTAATAATTGTAGTTTTAAAAACTATATTTTTAAATTTTGATTTATATTTATTTAATGATATTTTAATACAACTTGAGAACATTTGTATTTTACGTAAAATTTAAAAAAAATTAGTGAGAAATCTGGAAAGGTGAAGTGTTAATCCTTTATATATTATTTTTTTTACTTTTATTTAATCAGCTTTAACCCAAGCAAGGCAGTAAAGCCACTAAGACACGAGGTGTGAAAGGATTAAAAAGCAGAAACATTACTAAGAAGCAAGAACAATAGAAGAGTAATCAGGAGGACAGTAGATAACAATTGACATTTTTGAAGATCAATGTTAACCGGAAAGCATGGAGCTGGAAGCGAGAAGTGTGAGGAAAGAAACTCTTAGCATAGAACATACGGTTACATCTAGTCAATTTAACTGTGAATTGATGAGACCTTGTTGCCAATCTAGTACTGTTCTTAAATTTATAAAGTCTAGGTACCATAGCAAAGAACTTACCTGAACAATTATCATGAAAGTATTTATAGAAAAGATAAAGGGAAACAACTTTGTGACTGAAACTGAGATGCCAGATCAGGATCAATAATAGTGCTGTTTCTCCTTTGGATTTTGTCAAGAATTTCTAAATATATAGCAGGTGCACTGGGCCATATGGTGGCAATATTCTAAACATGAGTGAATGGTAGACTTATAGATATGTAGGTTAGATTCTGGAGAGAAAAAATGTTTTGCACAACACTGAGAACCAACTTTCTTAGAAGCATTGGATTCAATATAGTCTTTCTATTTCAAGTCAGCAGAGACTATTAGCTCCAGAAGGCACAATGAGTCACTCTCCTGGTGATCAGGCTGAAAGGGGTTTCTCAGATGACTAATAGAGAGCAGTTTTGTTTTTAGAGGCATTAAAATTAACAAGCCATTCTTTACTCCAATTAACAACAGACTAAGTCATTTTTAGTATCAGCTGCCTATTTGACCTTATTGAACTAATCATACTCTCGAGACAAGAGTAAATGATTGTGTCATCAGTGTAGATACCATTTTGAGAGCTGATACCATCGGGAAGGTCATTAATGAAAATTAAAAACAAAGTAGGAACAAGGATAGTGCCCTGGTGGATAAAAGTTATGTTTTGTGGATACGTATGTATCCACTAACTGTAATGTTTAAATAATAATAATATATTAAATTTAAAATACATTCATTCATTAAGTTATTTTGTGAATGTTTCAGGTACGAGACTAATGTTAGAAGATATAGGCTTTGAAAGGTCTGAACAAGAGATGTGTACTTCTTAAAAAGATTAATTGAGCCTTGCTTCAATGCAAAATCTTTCATGGCTGAGCTGTCTAAAGCAGACTTAGCTTAAAGGTGGTTTTTCCAATATAAAGGAATGCAAGTTTGATGCCTGCTAAGAGGTACATTATTTTTTATGAAAACTTTCTATTACCTAGATTGGTAGATGTCAATTATGCTGTTTTTTATGAGTGAGGGATGTCTGTACAAACTAATCAAACTAAATATAGCATTGACAGTAGGAATATTAACAAGATTTATAAAAAACGTAAAAGAAAGGCGCTTTCTTCCATATTGACTTTTACTGATAACAACAAAATAGGGTAATGTTGTTATGGCAATCATAGTTTGATAAATATGTTAAAATTCTTGAGACACTTTTGCATACCAAATGTCCACAAAACACTTTATGATTTTAAAGTAAGAAGTTTCAGCTTTATTTTTTTTTATTTTTATTAAAAAATATCTTGTTTCTGTAATTTTTCAGGTTTGATGATTTCAATTTTGTCAGTTTTAAGTTCTTTTTAGTGGGTGATAATACAAATGTATCATTTACACACACGCATACATATACAAAGACAAATATATCTATTTCTGTCTACCTGTCAGCCTAGACTATTTTGGGGTCCTTATTTTAACCTGAAATGTTTTAATCTTTCATTGGATTACCAGCAATGTTTAACCTTCATACCTGCAATAAAACTGTGTCAGAAGGACAGTTATTCTCTTGACACTGCAATTACTGCATAAACTTTTCATTCCACTGGCAATGTTTATTTTTACAAGATTATAAAAATATGTGAACCAAGTACAATGTGATATTTATTATTTATCTTTTATAAAGTTTTATTATTTAACATTTTATAAAGAAATAGATTTTAAAAGAGACCTTTTTTATTAAAAAATTTATAAAAATTTACAAAATTATCAAAACATTTAAACCAACTACATTGGAATATCAATTATTTATGATTTTATAAATAGCTATGAAAACAAGTTTTTTATTCATAATTTTATAAAAATGTCAGTGAACTATATAACAAAAATATTTTAATAAACACAATTTTCTGGACATAATAAATTTTCTTTTCAGGTTATTTAATATCTTGTATTACTAGTTTTAATTTTCCAACTTTTATAAATTTATGAAAAAAAAAACTCTTTTCATATTTATTTCTTTATAAAATGGAAAATAATATTTCATTATAGTTGGTTCACATATTTTTATAATCTACGACTAAAGCTGAGCTGCCAGATTAGGATTGATAATATTGCTGATTCTTATTTGGATTTTGTCAAGGATCTCTAGATATATGTGGCAGCAATATTCTGAACATGAATGGTAGACTTATAGATATGTATGATAGATTCTGGAGAGAAAAATTGTCTCACATGACACAGTGAACCAATTTGACTTAGCAATGTATTTAATATAGTCTTTCCACTTCATGTCAGCTAAGAACATTAAACTGAGAAGGTGCAATGAGTCATTTTCCTGGAGGTTCCCTTGGGAGTCTGTTCCCAGAAGTGACAATTTCTATTCTTTCAAATTATGTCTTCTGTATTCCATTGATTGATTTTCAATAAACGTTTTGGTCATGAAATCGAAATGACACTGTTTGAAATAAAATCTCATCCTCTTTGCATTTCTGTAATATCACTTTTCTAACACTAGAATTTTTTTGCAACATGTTAATGTGTGTTGAAATCCTCACAGTATTTAGTATTGTTGAAGTTAGCACTAACAATTTTGTTGTGATTTACAAACTCTACTCTTTCTACTGTGTATTATATTTTACCAGAATGAAATATATATATATAAGCTTAAAGATATGCAAAAAATAATATTGCATTTTTGTTAAATAAGTATTTGTTATTTTAATCATTAAATTTTTTAAAATAGTGGAAGTATGTTAAATAATAAAACTTAAATTTTCCCTCAAAATTAATGAAAATTTATTCTACTTAGCTACACATCCTAGTAAAACCAACTGTACTTTGGACTCCCTTAACTGTTTGCATTTCTCCTCAAAATTTGGTTTTGATTGGTCAATGTATATCTATTTTAGAGGGTGTGATGGACAGACTAACAGAAGTCATAGAATTTTATATATAGATGCTAAAAGCATCTATATATAAAATTCTATGACTTCTGTTAGTCAGAATTACTATGACAATTTTTGAAGACACATTTTGAAAGAATACACAAAAGCATTTGATAAAGTATGACAAAGAACTTCTTGAAATGTTAGGAAGACCTGATTTACATAGAAAAGATATTAAAATCTTATCCATATCCTGTATTGGTAATGAGTTAAGTAAATACACAAACAAAAAGAAAAGTACAAGAAAAATATATTTTATCACCAAGATGATACTATAAGGATTAGAAGACCTAGTATTTATTACCACAACACAATAACCTGTGCAGATGACACTGTTGGTATATGTTGACGGCAGATTTAGAAAAAAAAAACAAGCTGCAAGGACTAAAAGACGAAGTAGTCAATGAAAGCATGAAGACCAAAGATAAGAGTTACATATTGGGTTGACAGAATTAAATATAGTAATAGACAATGGAAAGTGTGGCACTGAAATTTGAAGATGCATTGGAATAGTGAAAGATACTTTTCAGGAAGTGAACAATTTATTAAGGGATTGAAAATATCCTTTGAATAAAGAAAATGCAGCAGCACTGCTATGTAATATCTAATCTGATATATGGTGGTGAATGCTGTACAATTTCACCACAAATGAAGAAAAAACTTGAAGTGACATTAATATTCTATTGCTGAATGAGAAACAAAGTTTTAAAAAATGCACTCTGTAAACAGTCATTTGAAACATATTTGACAATGTTTAGCATTGCATTACCCACGTAATGATCAGCTTTACCAAAATTTCATACATTATAATTTGTTACTATTAGGTATCATGTTTTTCAAATTGTAGTTTGTAAATATTGTGTCATTTAAGTTAGAATATTAGTGTTGGTTTTTAATACGGGTTAAAGGGAGATAATCCTGATTTTTATTTTATTTTTTTTTTTTGCTTAGTGAATTCAGTCGGTGTGTTTCTCAAAATTTTCTTTCTCTTTTTAGTCACATTGCAAAATCTTATGCTCAGCATCCTCTTCCTTCTTTCTATCTATTTCTATCCTTGTTTAATATTATTCCAACTTGTTGAGAGCATCAACTTAGTTTCCAGAATGGAAAAGAAAATAGATGGCTTGTTACTTTTAATGTCTCCAAAACTAAACGTCGCTCCATTAATCATCCGAGAGACCCCACTCTGCCTCTATACTAACCTCCAGGAACCTGATACTAACCTCCAGGAAAGTGACTTGTTGCACCTCACGTTCTTAGCTGACATAAAGTGGAAAGACTATATTGAATCCATTGCTAGGTCAGCTGCTAAAAATGTCAGTTCACTGTATCGTGCAAGACAGTTTATCTCTCTGGAATCTATCTTGCATATCTATGTCTACTATTTGTCTATGCTTAGAATATTGCTGCTATATATGATTCAGTGTCCCTGTATTTACCTGGAGCTCCTTGATAAGATCCAAAGAAGAATCAGCAATATTATTGGTCCTGATCTGGTCACTTGACCACTGCCATAAAGTTGCCACTCTGGGTCTTTTTTATAAATACTTTCATGGTAATTGTTTGGATAAGCTCTTCACTATGGTACCTAGACTGTATGAATTTATGTGCAGTACTAGACTGGCGTCAAGATCTCATCAATTTACAGTTGAGCTGGCTGTAAATTTTATGCTAACAGCTTCTTTTTTTGCTTGTGGAACTCCCTTCCAGCTCCATGCTTTCCTGCCAACTTTAATCTGCAAAAATTTAAATGCAATGTCAATCGCTATCTACTGTCCTTCCGATTGCTCTTTCCTCTTTCTACTCATTATTAATGTTTCCGTTTCTAATTCTTCCATGCCCTGTAACCCTCGTATCTTAGTGGATGTACTGCCTTGCTTTGGGTGATACTGATTAAAAAAATATCTCAGCATTATTGTTTATAAAAAGACTGGAAACTAATATTCTTTTATATGTCATATCTCTTCAGGATGTAGGCGATCATGACTCTCTACAACTTCCTATCCTTTGTAGTGTTTGTCTTTTTATTATTCCTCCTACTCTCTATTCTACAATCCATTTACACAAGCTTGTTAGGTTGATACTCATTGTTTCCCTCTACCACTCTTGCTTTCAATATATCCTGTGAATGTCAAATTATCCAAGCCCTCTTTCCTCAGCATGCGTCCCAGAAATTTAAACTCTTTTTGATTCTAAGTGTCCTAGTTTTCCATTTTTTTAAAAACTTCTTTGTGGCTCACATGTCCTGTTTATGGCATCCTTCAATAGAACCACATCTCTATTACCTCAGGTTTCTTATTTATCTGTGAGAATATTGTCCAGCATTCATTGTGATATAGCACGATTAATATTACATAGCAGTTCAGTACGATTTTCTTCATTTTTAATGAGATTTTCCTGTTTCTTACATTAAGGAATTTAATAATAAATGACAAAATTTAGAGTGTAAGCATCAACTAAATTTTGTTTTCATTCTTAGATACAGAATTTGATTTTCTTTTGAATGTTACTGAACATTTCAAGTTAAATTTTGAACAATTAGAAATGGAGACAATTATATATTCCTGTGTTTTGAAATGATCAAAGAACAAACCTATTGGATTGTCTGTAACTTTGAGAAGAGTCATTAACATTTGAAATTTTAACTTAACCCCTTCTTCATGTACTTGATGTTATCTGACTATTTTGGCTGATTTATGCTTTAATTTATGTCAGCTGTATGATGCTTGAAAAAAGAGGACACCACCTTTTTTTTTCCAGGAAAAAAAATCTAAAAATCTAGATAAAAAACATGTTAGAAAAACAGTTTTTTTTACACTTTTCTCTCTTGATAAAGTATGAATCAACCAAAACATTGTATAGAAAATATCAAGTTCATAAAGAAAGGTAAACTGAGTTGAATAAACATAAATTTTAATGGTAAAACAAAATTCTATGCTGATATCTGTACCTGAAAACTAGTTTTTATATTGTTTCTTTTCCTTTTTTCAGAAAAACTATGCAAGACAATCTCGATTTGCCAGCACATTGGTGATTGCTGAGCACAACAATGAAAATCTCACTCCAGTGACACTCAATGCAATAACGGCTGCTTCCAAGATTGGTGGAGATATTACTTGCCTTATTGCTGGCTCTCAGTGTACCAAGGTAAGTTTTTATCATGCTTTCTAACCAAATATAATTTTTGACTTTTGGGATTGTATTGCTGATATTGTCTAAAAACATCAGTGAAATAATTCCTACTTTAGAGTGACTTTAAAACAAAATGATTGTAACATTTACTGAAATATGAAAGTTAAAAAAATCTGTAATGAGATAGCACTGAATGGGAAAAATTAAAGGCTCATAAGACAAGTCAACTGTTGATATCTTTTGTTATGAAAAAAAATATATAACAACCCCATTAGTATCTGATGTATTTTGTATTTTCTGTCTGAATTTCTGGGATGAATATTTATCATTATTGTCCACATCTTTGTTGTTGCTATCACAATGTTTTGGCCATTTTACCCTCTGGCCTACAATCTGGGTAAATTTTGAACTGAACCTTTTATTTAATTTACTGGGGTAGATTGTTTTCATTCTACTGCCCATGTCTAGGGATATCTCACCTAGTTATTATTTTTTTTTAGTATAGCTCAATTATTGCTTGTCCTGTTATGACTGAGTCAAAGTACGTGCTGCCTGGACCAGTTTGTATTGTCTTCTATATTTTTACTTCTTGCATAAACTAAAGAAGAGTGTTTTTTATTTTTATTTTTAAACAAGAATTTTTCCTGTCTATCTAGGTATCTTGACTTTCTATGTGTCTTGTCTGTTCAGAATGTGGACAATCATGGCTCTCTAAAACTTCCTATCCTTTGTACTTTCAATTTGCATAAAAACTGATTTATTTTCCTCTGATGAAGTTTCTTAATGCAAAAATAAAAGAAATTGAATATCTTAATTTTGGTAATTGAATGTCAAAATGGACTATGCTTTGGACTTCAAAAAGACTTCTTCAGTCTAAGTAGTTTTTTTTTTATTGATAGAATCATATATGTAGTGGGGTGGGGAGAATAAAATGAATGCTGGCTACAATTTTACATTGAAAATGTTGAAAATATGGGGATGTTTAAATTCAAATTCTAAATTTTTGCTGTCTGATGTAGATAGATACATAACCTAATTAACCTCATTCACTTTCTCTTCCATTTTTGTTTTTATGATATTGTTTATAAATTTCCTACATAGCAGTAGTTTTGTTAGGAAAGGAGATATATTGTCTAGTCCTGGGTGTAAATTTACTGTGTGAGACTCGGTGCTCTTTCAGTACATTTTTGCCTTAAAAAGTTACTTTCTCATTTAATTAACACCGTATAATTTAAATAGAAATTATGGTCACACTTATGATGAATGACGACTGCATTGAGTGTATTAATATATACTAAAATTTTTTGTGACATGCTGATATGTGTTGAAATCCTCACAAATATTTAGTATTGTTAAAGTTATTAGTAACATTTTTGTTGAGATTTACAAACTCTTGTTCAATTTTGCAAACCAATCGATGAAATTTGAAAAAGCTGATTTGTTTGGAAAAATACTTTAACAAAGACCCTACTTTGCAGTTCAATAATTTCTTTAATTTTATAGGAGTTCATGGTAAATAATATTTTTTAAGAAAATTTCTTTTTTTTCCTTTTTAAGTGAAGAATAAATTCTTAGGATTTCTTACTCTTGAGCATCCAACATACAACTGGCCATGCGTAAATATTTCTTTCTGGAGCCAAATTCCAACTTTTTAAAGTGTTTGACCATGTGATTTGTTTATAGTTCTTGCAAATGCAGGGAAAACTGGATTCTTGTTTATATAAAAGCTTAAAAGAAATGGAAAAAACAATATTGCATTTTTATTAAATATGTATTTATTATTTTAATCACTAAATTGTTTTTAAAATAGTGGCAGTATTTTGTTTGTTAAATAATAAAACTTTTAATTTTTCCAAAAAAAATTAATGAAAATTTATTGTACTAAGCTATGCACCTTTGTACCCCCTTAGCACTTCTCCCAAAAAATAGTTTTCGATTGGTCAATGTATGGCTATTTCAGAGGGTGTGCGGGCCTGTGTGACTTCGTCCCCTGGTTGCAGTGCCAACTGTGACGTCCTATCCTGGTCTACCACGGCACCAACTGTGATGTCCTCGCCGCGGCGCCAGCTGTTCGCTCCTCGCTGCTCCATTCAGGTGTCGCCGCTCCAAACGTGACGTCCGCCTGTCACGTCAGTCGTGTTGTCTCGTCCTGTGACAACCAACTGGCTTGGTATCGGTCGCGGCACCCAAATGTGACGTTCTAACCTTTTGGTGATTCGGGTGGGAATCTGGTTAGATTTGATATTAGCCTCGTCATTCCCAACTTGCTTCCAATGCCTGGTTACCAAAGTAACTGCATTGATCCCCAGTCTGCCTACCCACGTTGTGAATTGATCTTAGGCAGATGAGATCAATCAGTAGTTGGGGCTGTAATGCAAATCGGGTTCAACGGGGTGACACCACACAAATATGCATAAAAGAAAATAAAATGATAACTCAAAAGTTCAAGGTATCAAAGAAAAAGATAACAAACTTTATGTCTAGTTGTTTGATACATAGGACTGCGTCTATCTCCCGACCCGTTCTATGGATTGTGACACGTCGTTTTCCGTTAGGCGAGTTTTAACACTTCAAGTTGTTTGCTCTTTAAGAAATTGGTTTTTTGGTGTGTCTTCGGACGAAAGTCAAAAAAAAAACTTATTTTGGTGGTCTGGATCTAAGTCGCTCTTCAAAATAATTGTTCTCGGATTGAAGAGGAGTCCGGAATTTGCGCGAATCTTTCAAGTCAGCTATCTGTGAGGCGGAACCAACTTCCACTGCGAGCTTCGTACTCTCTGCTGCAACTCCAACTCGAACTGAAACTGATTTCCGCTCGCTGCGGCTTCGCTTATATGGACGCCGACCAAAACCGGGGTGGGTTTGTCGGCGTCGGGGGTTCCTCGATAATTCTAAATACATATCCACCTCTTTTTATTTCTGGTTAGGAATTTTCCCTCTTTTTCCATTTTGGGGGAGCCTTTTCTTACTCCCACCATCTCACCATACTTCAGAGGGGCGTGAACTGCCCTCCCCACTTCTTTGTAGCAGCTTCTCATACCTATCCTCTGAGTGGGCGGCGACAGCCTCCTTCATGCGTCATGTGATCACCACTTGACCAATGATGTCCTAGTCGGGCGTGGACGAATCTCTAGGCTTTGTTTCAGGAAAAAAAAAAAATATCATGCTTAACTAAAAAAAAATTATCTTTTCTTTTCCTTTTCTTCCTCTTAATCGCAGTTATCATTTTCTCTAGCCGAAAACAGGACAATATGAACGATGGTGGTCATAACTCTTGTTCTACACCTGGGTTTCGTCAGCCATCTTATCACTAATTATCAGAATGGGTGGTCTTTTTAACACGGCCAGACGTCGCCCCGAAAAGAACATTTCTAAGTTCCCATTCATTTCCTTTCGGTACACATTTCTGATAACATAATTTTTTATTATCGCAGGCTAAAGATGTTCGTCGAAGAAATCGGTCAGTGGACACATCGTGTGCGGCTTTTAATTTTCATATCTATCCAAAGCCCTTTAGTCCACCTGTTGTTCGTCATTTATCGAAATAACATTTTCATTTGGATTTTTCTTTGGCCAGTCGGCCAGCAGTTTGTTTACGCATATCCCAGATAACACAGCCGTCACCAAAAACACACCCGATTCCTTTATCCACTCAGAATTTCTCTGTCATTGTAATGACACTCTTTTGCCATTTGTTACTTATCAAAATATCCTTTATCCATTGTCTCTTAGCCGTGGTGTTCTGCTTATCATCCACGCTTTGAGTCTTAGCCTCTCCTTTCCTTCTTTTCTTTCTTTTCTTTTTCTGCCTCGTTAAATGGTGCCACACCTGGCGGACTAACAGAAGTCACAAAATTTTATACATAAATAAATTTCATTGATCAAAATTTTGGTGTGTATCTTTTTATATTGTTAAAGTATAATTGTTTGTGGAAATATGGAATGTTTTTCTAAATTTATTTTTATTCAAATTACTATTTGATAAGAGTATCTAAAGTTATTGGATACTTATGGTTAGTAAGAATTTTTTTTTTAATTGAGTTCACCCCAAGCAAAGCAGTAAAGCCACTAAGACACAAGGGGTTACTAGGTGTGGAAGAATTAGAAAATAGAAACATTACTAAGGAACAAGAACAAAAGAAGAGAAATCAAGAGGACAGTAGATAGTAATTGACATTGCATTTAAATTTTTGAAGATTAAAATTGACTGGAGCCAGAAGAGAGTTTCATAAGTGAGAAGTGTGAGAAAAGAAACTCTTAGTATAGAATTTACAGTTACATTTAGCCAGTGCAACTGTAAGTTGATGAGATCTTGATGCCAGTCTAGTACTGCAAGGTATCTTGTGAAGAGCTCATCTGAACAATTACCATAAGAGTATTTATAGAAAAGGAACGGTGCGACAACTTTACGGTGATGGGAAAGTGACTGAAACTGAGATGCCAGACCAGGACCAATAGTATTGCTGATTCTTCTTTGGATTTTATCAAGAATCTCTAGATATATTGCAGAATCACCAGACTATATATGGTAGCAATATTCTAAGCATGGGCAAATATTAGATAGATTCTGAAGTGTAAAATTAGCATGACACTGTGAACCAAGTTTTCTTAGCAGCTGACCTAGCAATGGCTTCAATATAGCTTTTCCATTTCATTTCAGCCAAGAATATTAGCCTGTGAAGACACAACAAATGTCATAGTGTCCATTTTTGCCACCTTTTCTTTAGTAAACATTGGTAGAAGAAAATCTCTAATATTAAATAATAAAAAAAAAAGCAGTCAAGCAACACAGCAAGAATTAAAATTTAATTCTGTTAAATGCTAGCACTTTGTATGCTCCTCTTTATTTTGATAACATGGCAATGGCCTAGTGGATAAAATTGTTGGTTTGTGAATTTTGTTATGTAGTGATTGTGAATTCAATTCTTTGGTTTGTGCAGTGTATACTTGCACTCATTGGAAATGGGTGAGCGATAACTGAACACTACTAAATAAAAATAAGAAGTAGATGATATCCC